AGCAATCTAAAATGATTAAAAGAAGTACTCAAGCGATCCGTACGACGAAGAATAGCTATTTTTGCTTTCGGAGACAAAATAGCACGTGAGAAGGAATACGGTATCGTTTCATTGACGTTGCGCAATAGGGATCAAAGTTCGAAATCGTACGAGTTAGAAGCTGTCATAACGGAATATATATCTAATTTGTCCTTGAAAATTCCTGATGTATCTATTCGCAATGCGTTGAAGGAAAGAGGTTTACCTTTGGCTGATTCATTTTCTGGCGACTGTCAGACGGAAATACTTATCGGATGCGATTCATTTTGGGATGTTGTTTATGACGAGAGAGTAAAGTTAAATGAAAACATTACTGCGATAAATTCTTGTTTCGGTTGGTTACTAGCGGGAGTGGAAGGAAGTAATAAATTGACTAATAATTATGAAAATGTATGTTTAGTCATGGACTCTTCTTCCATTTTGTGCGATTTGAAAAAATTTTGGGAAATAGAAGAATTTCAGTCAGACAAACAAAACTTTTCTGAATGGGACAATCAATTGATTGAAAAATTTGAAAATTCTCTGGAATTTAATGGGGAAAGGTACGTTTGTAGATTGATGTGGAAGGAAAACTTGGGACCTGCAGTTGGGTTGAATTCTAATTATGAGGTTGCGAAAAAGCGTTTTGATTCGTTAAAGCACAAACTAAATAAAAATCAAGAAATTTATGACCAGTATAAACAAATTATATCGGATCAGTTAGAATGTCAGATTGTGGGAAAATGTGTTAATGAAGATAAAAATTCAGGATATTATATGCCCCACAGAGCGGTAATTAGGGATGACAAGGAAACAACTCGAGTTAGAATTGTTTATGACTGTAGCAGTAAGGCTAATGAAAATAATAAATCTCTTAATGAGTCTCTAGAATCGGGAGTAAATCTTTATGCAAATTTATTGGACATAATTCTTAAATTTCGAGAATATCAAGTTGCATTTTGCGGAGATTTAGAGAAAGCTTTTCTTATGATAGAGATTGCGGAGGAAGATAGAAAATACCTTAAATTTTTGTGGTTTCCCGAAGAGGTAGGTGATTCAACCGAAACTCTTCATTTAAATCGTCTCCCATTCGGTTTAACTACTTCGCCATTTTCCTTGGCTTGCGTTTTGAAATTTCACATTAAGAAATTTAAGGAACATCATCCAAAATGTTATGACATGTTAAATTCTTTTCTTTATGTTGATGATCTCTGCTATGGAGCCAATACCGTTCAAGATGCTTATCATTTGACGTCTACGGCAATAGAGATATTAAAAGCAGCGGGATTTCATTTGAGGAAATTAAAAACTAATTGTCCGGAATTGTATAAACTTTGGAATGAAAACGGATATGAGGAAAATACTGACTTCGGGCAAGGAACAGGTTTCTTGGGATTGAAGTGGGATCCGATTGAGGATAAAATTAAATTAGATTTAAGAGATGTTAGGGATTCCATTGATGCTAGAATCACCAAGCGTCACGTTTTGAGAGTTATTTCAAAGATATTTGATCCATGTGGACTGATTAGTCCCTTTGTAATCACTGTGAAAATTCTTCTGCAAGAGATGTGGGAACGTGGTCTACAATGGGATGAAGATTTGCCAAGTGACCTACAAAATAAATGGAGAACCTGGTGTTCTGAACTTTGTGAACTTGAATCAGTATCTATTGAAAGAAGGTTTTTTGAAAGTGTAGAAATAAGTGAAGTTTCTCTTCATGTGTTTTGTGACGCCAGTCCCAAGGCATATGGGGCTGTTGCGTTCCTAAGGTACGTGAATTACAATGGCCAAATCAAAGTGAGCTTTATAATGTCAAAAAGTAAAGGTTGCTCCTTTAAAAACTTTGACTCTTGCAAGATTAGAGTTAATGGCAGCTCTCCTCGCTGCACGTTTAGGAAATTATTTACAAGGTCTATTTCCTAATTTCGCGAAACAAATTTTCTTTTGGAGCGACTCTCAAATCGTCCTTCATTGGTTGAAAGGATCTTCTAAACAATGGAAACCATTTGTCGCCAACAGAGTAGCTCAAGTGCAGTCGCTGACTCTACCAGAGTGTTGGAACCATTGCAGTGGCTCCGACAATCCCGCAGACCTTACTACTAGAGGAGAATCGGCTAGGAGGATTCTTACAAGTTCTCTGTGGTGGTCAGGCCCTGTTTGGTTGTCTAAACCACTTTACTCGTGGCCTCTTCAAGAATCGCTACAATCATTTTAATGACATCTGTGATGAACGCGTTATAGTGAAAGAGCGACGGACTGCACTGGTTAATTCCATGGTAACCAGTTCAGCTAATGGAAACTTACCTATGTCGTCGTTACTGGACGTTAATGACTTCAGCGAATTAAGTAGATTACTGCGTGTTACTGCTTGGATTAAAAGGTTTGTGCACAATTCTAAACCTAATTCTACAAAATTAAATGGACCTATATGTGCTCCAGAACTCGAGCAAGCTTTGCGTTTTTGGATCAAAGCTACTCAATTCAAACATTATAGTACAGAAGTTACCCAACTTCTTTCTAAAGGAACTATCGATAAGAGTTCACGCATATTTAATTTGAATCCTGAACTTGATGATAATAACTTACTTTGTTTAAAGGGACGTTTACAGTTTTCAAGTAACGATATGCGAGCCAAACATCCTTGGCTTCTTCCATCTAATGATAAATTTGTTGAACTACTTATCTGTGATTCTCATACTAAAATGTGCCATTTAGGTGTTGATGCAACTTTAACACATTTACGAGAACAATTCTGGATTGTTAAAGGTCGTCAATTTGTGAAAAAAGTGTTAAATAACTGTCTGATTTGTAGACGATTCAAAGTGAAATCTGGAATGCAGGTGGTTGCCCCTTTACCGCCTGATAGAATTCAAGAGCATCCACCATTTGATGTATGCGGTGTGGATTTTGCCGGACCATTTTTTGTTCGTGATTTTAATTCAAAGTGTTATTTACTTATATTCAGCTGTGCAGTGACAAGAGCTATCCACTTAGAAGTAGTTCTTAACATAAGTGCTGATTCCTTTTTGTTAGGATTCCGACGATTTGTTTCTCGTCGAGGATTATGTTCCACTATATATTCTGATAACGCCAAAGCTTTTAAAAAAGCAAATAGTGAATTGAAAAAATGGTGGAATCAGATAGATAATGATCAAGTTAAAAATTTGTTTGCTTCTAAAGGTATAGTTTGGAATTTTATAGTTGAAAAAAGTCCATGGTGGGGAGGTTTCTGGGAGAGACAGATACGGAACGGTTAAAACCTGCTTAAAGAAAAATTGTTGGACGATCCTCTCTCTCTTTGAAGGAATTGGAAACTGTTTTTTCGGAAATTGAAGCTCTGGTTAATTCCAGGCCTATCACGTATCTGTACAACGAACCCTCAGAACCCTCTCCACTCACCCCATCTCATTTTCTTATTGGTAAAAGGTTGGTGTCTTTACCTGTAATAAAACATAAAAATGAAAATTTAAATGTTAATAGGAATTCTTTGGTAAAGAAATATAAATATCAGCAAACACTTTTGAATCACTTCTGGAACAGGTGGAGAAAGGAATATTTACTTAATCTAAGATCAGCTTATATTTCTCCACAACCAGGTAAAATAGTTTCATTTAAAGTGAATGATATTGTTTTGATTAATGATGAGCGTTATCCCAGAAATATGTGGATGATGGGAAAAATTTTAGAGCTATATCCAGGAAGAGATGGAAAAGTTCGTTCTCTTCTTATTCAGACTCCTAAAGGACAAATAAAACGCTCAGTACAACTTGTGTATAATTTGGAAATTAATCCTTAATTGTGTTAGTTTAATTGAGTTGCAACCTGTTAATGTTCTATCTGTGTATTAATGATAGTTTAATTGTGCTTATATTTTAATGCTTGATATTTGAACAATTTTCTTTGGAAGTTAAAAGTGTAATTGGTTTTTGTATGTTAAGTCACTGAATAATTTTGAAGCTTTGTATTTGATATAATATGCTATTTATATTTTTATTCTTGTAATTTTAAATGGTTCCTGAATGTAAATTTAGTTAAAATTCAATGGTAAGTGAACTCAAGTGAGTTCAGGTGGGGAGTATTACATATTTCCAGCGTCATTCTGACTAGAGGGCGCTGTGTTCGTCCCAATAGTCAGTGGCAGGCAGGATACTAAAGGTGTAGGACGTGGAAGGCAGGGATGCCTAATAATATATCTCTAATTGATTGAAATTTTCATATATTTTCTTGTAAATAAATGTTGTTATTGTTTACAAAACCTCTTATTATGTCTTGGATGCACCTTTAGTCTTACAGAACCATTAGATGCAAAAACGGATAATGAATGTTCCATCAGCCCCCTTTTTTTTAGGCCTATGGGAGGCTGCCATTAAATCCATGAAGTTTCACATGAGACGTGTTATAGGACTGCAGATCTTGCAAGAAAAATTTTCAACGTGTCTAGTGGAGATTGAAGCAATACTTAATTCCCATCCTTTAGCGGCTGCTTCTGAGGACGCAAATGATTTTTCTGTCATTACACAGGGTCATTTGGTTATCAGTTCCAAGTTAAAAAGTGTTCATGAACTTGATCTTACAAATGAGAAAATTCCCATTTGTGAATGGTGGAAATTATTCACACAGATTTCCCAATTGTCTTGAAATTCGATTTCAAATCAACTACTTGACTCAGTTGCAAGTGCACAAAAAATGGAATCTTTTTAGTGCTGATTTATGTGTGAATGACTTGGTATAAATCAAAGATGAAAACTTTCCACGACTTAAGTGGAAAATGGCAAAAGTATTAAAAGCTAACAGTAATCTTTTGCATGGTATTTAATATAAATTGAAATTATAGGTGTGGCAAATGTGAAAAAGCTAAAGAGGAGGAAGGTGCATTTCAGGTAACATTTGAATTTAATATTATTTCAGGGCAACTCACCCAGTTATGATATTCTGAAGATTAATTAGAAATTGTTATCGATGGAGAAAAATATAAAATGAAAAACTATTAGAATAAGCTTTAATAACACATAAAACTAAACTTCAGACAATGAATTTTTTTACAGTTGAAAGTACTATATTCACCACTAACTTTAAAATTTCACATTCTAATTCCTAGATTCAGGTACAGAATTTTTGCCTTTGCCATAAAACAAGTTCATTTCTTCATTTTTATTTTTATTTTGAAATATACTAATTCCAGGAAAGGTTTCAGTTCTTCTCTCTGTAAAATATAAATTATTTATCACATAAAATGTTATCAAAATAATAATTTTTTAGTTCACTTTAAGAATTTCATTTTCATAAACTTATTTCAATAAGCTGCATACGTTATTACACTGCAAAAATGTAATTATATTAACCCTTAAAAGTAAAATATTTACAATAACTGATACCTAACTATAGTATTTGTTGACAAAAATAGACTTTTCTGTTAACAGGGAACTTCTTAGTGTTAACATAAATATTGGAGCAAAATCTAATTAGATGGTAGCAACTCTAGAGTTTCATAAAAAAATGGTTATTACTCAGAATAAATATTACAGGGGGGTAAGAAGATAAAGAAGACAAATACAAAAGATTTTACCATACTGCTTTTCATATTGTACAAGAACCATAAAATTGATTTCATTTAACACTACCTAAAATATTCGTATGTTTCCGTGAAATTGCTGCTGTTCAAAAAAATAGGAGCCTAGTTGATAGGGCTATGTTTTTTTTACCAATACGTTTTACCATGGCAACTCATTATCAGGATCAAAAACCTTGACTTCAGGTTAACCTGTAGATGTACACTGTGTGAAAAAAAGGGGGGACAGTTCTATATCTCCCGTTCAACTGAGCTGATTGACGAAATTTAACTTGCATCTGTCAACTTGTCAAATTTTCTGAAATGTCATGCCAATTTATTTCCATATTTCGATTCTATGACTCGAATTATGCCAAACTCCAAGTTCATATTTCAACGAAAATATCCATTTTGACTGCTATCGAATGAATTTAACGTTGTTTTTGCATGAGATCTGTACATAAGGACAGAATAAAGGTCTCTTTTCCCCCCAAAAAAATTATAAAACTAATTTAAAATTAATTCTGAAGAAAAGTTTTCGTGGCATCCGTGCATACATATGTATGTATCTAGCATAACTCAAAAACAAGCAGCCTTAGAACATTGAAATTTTATATATAGGACTGCTATAACATGCAGATGTGAACCTCCTATTTTGGCTGCCAATTGACCGCACCAAAACTATATGTATATATATATCCACTCTGTTACATGGTTCAGTGATCTCAGTTTCTTTATTCTTATATGTTTGTAAATTATGCAATTTTTTTTTTTTTTTTTTTTTTTTTTTTTTTTGGCTTTAAAAATGATTGAATTATGTTGTTCTTATCTTCCAGTTAAGGTTTTTAGGCCTTTCGTAAATCTGTTTACAATTGAAACTTAGCAAAATAGTGGATTTGATGACAATCTAGGGAACTAAGCTTCGTAATAACAAAGATAACACCTTCTTATATTATTACGAATTAAATTATGCTTAATCCATTCTGGAATTTATTTGAGGAAATAAGTGTTTAACTTCGTAAATTTACTTTGTAATTTTTAATATAGATATTTTGAGTTTTTATGTATTTTTGCCTTGTAGCGGAAGTAAGAACTGAATTAATTGAATGAGAAATACTGAATTGTCTGTGAAAAACTGTTTCTTTTCTTTCTTTTATACATCATTTTAGATTTATTATAGTATTTGAATAGAACATGTGGCAATGATTAGATAATTCATCTGATGATATAAATTTTGTGCATTCTGAGATAAAATGAAATAAATGAGGAAGTGGTAACGTCAATCTTGGTTACAAGTAGTTATTAAAATGAAATGAGGAACTGGTAACATCCTGCTTAGCGTGATGAAAAAGTATTCATCTTGGTTTCAAGTAGTTATAAAATGAATGAAATATAACACTGTTAAGTGAACCTAGTGCCAGAGTGTGTCGCTATGGTAAACAAACACAGTGAATTTTTAAGAGTGCATTTATTCTATGGTGGTTTATGCGCTATCGACTAAGTAGATTTAATTCAATCCAATCAGTTTAAATGAAATGCAAGAAAAATGCATATTATTTAATATTCCATACAAGGAAGTCATGTAATGTAAGCATCAGATTTTTTTATTACATTTATTTGATTCTTCCTTTCATATTTCAAAATTTAGGTTCATTCCAAATAGAATTTTCCTACTTTTTATGATTTATTTTTAAAATTTGTATTTTTAAATAATTTTTATACATTTTTTGAAAAATATTTTGAATAATAACCTATAAAAACTTTGCTATCAAATTAAAGTAGATTTATTTTTAATCATACCTGCAAAAGAATAGAGTTTTTTATTCAAAATTTCTCAAGATAAAATTTAGGTTTTTATTACAGAAATTTTATGAAAATTAAAGTTTGAAATTTCATTTATCTTGAAAAGAGTTTCTAAAAGCATGTTTTGATGTCTATTAAACAAAAAGTGGAATTGCTGCAAAAAATGGATAAAGGTATATTCGTCTCAAAATTATGCGAGCAGTATGACATTGGAAGTATATGACATTAAAAAACGGAAAAAGGAACTTTCTGAAATTTTTGTGGATTCCACACCCCCATTCACAATGAATAACAGAAAAATTATTTGTTATTCTAAAAGTGAAGATCATGACAAAGTGATGACTGAATGAGACAGAGACACAGCAAGGGTGTGCCATTGACAGGCCAAATGCTAATGGCTCAAGCCAAAGTATTTCATGAAGAAATTAACGTAAAAAACTGAGTGCACATATCCACAGGTTGGTTAACCAAACTTGAAAATTGCCATGGTATAAGGCAATTAAGAATTTTGGTGAAAAAGCTTCAGCTGATTCAGAAGCTGCTGAACTACTTGCAAATGAATTCGTTAAACTCATTAATAGTAAAAAGTTATCTCCAGAACAAATTCACAATGCTGATAAAACTGGTCTTTTTTGGCAACATGTTTTGCAAAATACCTTGGCAACCTATATAGAAAACGACTAGTGTCAGATTCGAAAGCGAGACTAACAATTTTAGCATGCGCAAATGCTACAGGAATGCACAAGTGTAAACTTTTTCATAATCTGAATAAATACACAAGCATTTAAAGGAGTAAAGATTTTCCCCATTTCATATTGTGGAAATAAAAGAACAGGGATGTCACAAGTGTTAATAAATGATTGGTTTGAAAATCATTTCATACCTGAGGCTCGGCAAAATTTGGTTGGTTTACCTGATGATGCTAAAATTGTTCTGATTATAGACTACTGTTCGGCTCATACCTAACTTAAAAATTTTAGTGAAAGATAATGTACCCGTATTATTCTTTCCTCAAATTGTACAACTCTTATTCAGCCTATGCATATCAGAATAGTGCATACCCTGAAATCCAAATATAAAGTAGATTTTTTAAAAGCCACATTAGATTTCTTGAATAAATGGCAAGACTATTTAAGAATTTTTTTAAATATTTCTTTCATTTTTGCTTTGTGGAGCATTGAAAGATTGTGGGAAGACGTGCCTCCAGATACTTTAAAAAAATGTTTGGCATAATTTATGGCCAGCTACCAGATTTCATGGTGAGGATGATAGTCGCGAATGTGAAAGTTCGGATATTGCAAAGCAAAGGTGAAATTTTCAAATTAATCGATTTTGTAAAGAAATGTGGAGAAGCGTTAATAAATGAAGATAATATAACAGAAGATTTTCATTGTGATGACAATGCTTCAATCATCAATCAAATAATGGACAGTGAAATATGTAGTATAGTTCTAGATCCAGAAAATACTGCTACTGATAATGAAGAAAGTAACAGAGGTTATTGAAAACGAAAAAATTTTGATTGACAAGCTAGTCGGAATTCTTGACACCGCAATTACAGGACCTTGAACAATAAAGCTTTGTATCTGAAGAAGAAATTCTGTCTCTCTACGGAATGAAAAAGAAAATATTAGCACAAAAAAAGAAACTTCAACAACTTACATTGAAAGAAATGTTTAATAAGTAAACAAATAAATAGTATGCCTTTTTTTTTTTTTTTTTTTTTTGTAAATTTTGATATCCTTTAGATCATAAATACTTCATTATTTCATAAATATCTAATATCCAGAAAAATTTCAAATCTGGAATCGCCGAAGTCCCGACGAGTGCAAATTTCAGACTTTGTACTGTACTACACCAATACGAATATCAATGCATAATTACTCAAGATATGATATAAACAGGTTATTGGATTTTGTGCACATTTGGCAAATGACACCCTGTTAACAGAAAAGTATCATAAAACACAAATGCATCTGTATTTATTTCTTGAATATTATAAGAAAACAATAATTAAGTACTGAAAATGACTAGTGAGAAATTCAGATTTGGTACAAGAGTGTTAATAATGCTAAATCTATAAACCAGGGATTATTTTATTTATTCAAATTTACTTATTTTTTCCACTCTTTATTCAACTTCCTTTATCGACAAAACTTTGCTAGAATAATAGAATAATCTTTTCGTACATTTAAAAAATATAATAAAATTTCTAAGAGTAAAGAGATTGATTAAATCTGAAAGTAAAGTTTTTTTTTCTTTCACTTCCATTAACATATCATTTGTATAATTTTTCAGTTATTTAAATAAATCCCGCAAAAATGTACACTTTTTTTTTAAATTTGTTTTCCACATTTTTTAATGATTTCACTTTTATTTAAAGATCACACACTAGAAAGGGAAAAGTTAATTAAAATAATAAAGCACTTTTCTAATTTGCATAAAATTCTCAATGATTTGCAGTATAAAAATCCTAAATTTGATTGTTTTAGCACCTTCAGTATTTTACTTTAGAAATTTCAGAAAAACATTGCACTTCACTTCTTTTGCACTTTTGTCAACTTTTCAGCAAATAGTTCACTTTGTAATTTTCTAAGATTCAACAAAAACTGCTTCATGTTTTATTGAAAATTTTTGCTTATTGTTATTGTAAAAATTGGTACATGGATGGTACCTAATGGTTCCATACGGCTGCAAACAGAATTATATATTTTCTGCAAACCTTTTTCCAAAATTCAAACAATCCATTTAACCACTTGCGCTAAAAAGACATGCCACGCATGTCGAGTTGCTTTTGTCTCAAAACGCGAACACCATTTCGATAGGCATTTATCGCAAAAATGAAAATAACG